GACATGGAATTTATATGTAACATACTGTATTGTATTAGAGGATCTATATTACGTGTGGGAGACATAATAACAATGAATATTTTTATGTTTCATTTATTTCTTGGACCAGCTGCTTTTCAGTAGGATCGGCGTGCCTTTGAAACAAAAAAATGAGCTTGGAGTGATGGATCTACCCCTGGCCTAGTCATTCTTCTAAAAATGTCTACCATATTAGACATATTTCTGACAATGATAAATATCTGTCAGAATGATATCAGAACATGAATGTCCCACTTGGACATGCTACATGTGTAATGTGATTGGCCACATTGCTTGTGTCAGGGCAGCTCAGTGGCCATGGATGAGAGTGGGCAGTATGGGAGAAGCCACATCAGTGATCACACTTTAATTGAACCACTGCACTTTTGTCCGATTCCACGTCTCCTCTGAGAATGCTGGGGGCATGTTGAGCTCTCCTCCTCCTCCATGTAACAGAGATAATCAGCAGACGGTACTTAACATGGCTGTCAATTCTCCACAACCAGTTGGTAATCAGCGAAGGGCTACACCAAGGCTTGATTGTCAGCATTGTCTGAACTCATACAATACCACCTGGGGCAGATGTGGACAAGATTTTCACCAGCAGCCATTCAAAATTAAGTTGTGTCAATCAGTGATATCTGACTGTAAATAGCAGTCTATTGCCTTGTCTGTGTTGCTACTCATATGCGGAGACATGCTAGGGCAAGTGATTCATGTTCAGTAAGGTGTTGTCTGGCTCATGATGAGGGTGGTAATGGTCATTTGTGGTGTATCCCTTGAGCCCTCACGACACCTACAAGGACATGATGATAGTCTCACAGCTCTGTATGCATGGCAGGACTTACCTGGAGGTGAGGTGAGGTGAAAAGGGGTTTAACACTTGCACTTATATAGCGACGTGCATGCACATGTGTGTGGCTGCTTGTTCTAGTCTAGACTGATGCCGCTTTATAGTGCTAGCTCACTGTGACACCCTGCCACATTCTAACATGAATACCCCACTCAGACACAGTATACTGACTCCGAGCGGACAAGCCCTTGTTTTAGCCCCTTAACGCCGAGCGCCAGACAGGGTAACAACAAGTACCATCTTTTAACGTCTATTGGTATGACACAGCCGGGGATCGAAACCCCAGGCCTTCCGCTCCCTGGGCGGATGCTCTACCACTAGAACACAGAGGCGGTTCGGCAGGACTGGATGTCAGAGTCTCTGGATAGAGTACAACAGGAGACATGATGCTGATGAACTAAATTTCAATAATTATTGCAAACAGGTATTAGTGTTCAGTTGTGATAATTGAGCGATAATGGGAGCAATTATCTGTTTGTTTTGAGGTAGATTGATAGAAAGGACCTGTTTGTCCTTTGATGGAAGATAGTGGATGATTAAAAATGTCTGGTATAATGTGATTAAATAACATGAAAAGATGAAAGGTTTGTTTTCTCCACTCTTGAATAAATACCCAATGTCTGCACTGTTAAGTTAATTGAGATGTATTGAAACATATACCATGGTTTCTGCAACTAACCCTAACCATGCCACTGTACCTGATTGTGTTTCAAGGTTTGTCAGCACCATGACTCTGGACAATGCTTGTGGGTTTCACCAAAGTCGTAAAAAAAACGTCTGAGACATGCATCACTTCGGGCTTTCCTCCCACATAAAGCTGACACGTCGGGATGTAACTGGAATATACTGTTGTTCAAAGCGGTGTTTAGCCCAACTCACTCACACTCTCCATCCGTAGAACATACCTCTGTTACAAGGTATGCCACAGGGCACTGCACTAGTCAATGTAACTCATGCACTGCAGTAATGCAATGTTTCAGCTGGGATATGCACATCAGTGTTTACAAATCTATAGATGTGATATTGCCGATTATGGCGTGGAGCACATTTCCTCGCTATCATGCGCTGTGTCCTCCCCCATTTGGTCCTTGTTCGGCCACACATCCTCAGATATGGTGCCTCTACAGATACTCAATGTAATCAGCAAAGTGTTACACACTTTAAGTTCTCATTGAGTCTCACAGCATGCCTATCATTAAAGTGTAATTTGAGGAGATTTAGGAGAGGATGCCGGGCCATGTCAACAGGCTATCTATAGGTTAACTTGTCACTTGAACCAGGTTGGCATCTTAAATGCCAGCAATATTACTGTGGAGGTACGAGTGTAAAGTTCAAAGATGAAAACTTTAAAAATCAGATACTCTTTATCTCCTTTCTGTTAGCTCTATGAATTTTTTTGCACAGTTAAGTTGCAGCTACATATTTTCATGTTGAAATATCTGAGATGTCTCTCAGTATATGGCAGATTTGGTGGATTATCGGACATTAGCACACAAGACATGCAGAGTTAAGTCATCTCAAATCGGTTGTATTCTTCAAAATCAAACTACCTGCTGTAAAATTGTGGACTACATATCAAGGTGTGCTACAGTGCCATTGCACTATTTTTACAGTGTGACTCCAAACTGAGATTGGTATTCATTGTTGCAGAAATTGTTTCAGTAGATGCTATTACCTATTTTGTGTAATATTGTCATGTCTTTGACCTAGCCCAATTCTGTTCTTCACGCCAACCTTTGCCTTTTTATGCCTTACATTTCAGTGGTGGTGTCATGATGAGTAAATATTGTATGTAACTGACTCTGTGTGAGACATTGAGCCTCTGTTGAAGTCAGGGAATATTGGGTTGGACGGATCCAAGCTAGTTGCTGAGCTAATGATGCTCCTGAATGGAATGACACAGGCTATATCCGGCACTGTTTATTTTTTTCTCCCCCAGTACAGAGGTTACAATACATCTTGTTGACAGCTCCAACCTGTACCAACAATGCTGGTGATCTAACACAGACAGTGCTGATGAAACAAAGGTCACAACGAGGCAGTCGCAGTGCCATGTGAAACAAAAACGGACAAATCTGTGTGCAACTTGTGAAAATATGTCCAGGTTGTGTATTATGTTGCCCCAAAGTGGTGGAATGTTGAGACATTCTGAGAAGATGTTAGGACATTATGGGGTATTTGTTCTGTGCAGGGTGTGATACGGAGGGCAGGTGGAGGAGGAATAATTAACCCTGGCAGTAGGGCTGTGACGGGCCCAAATTTACTACCCAGGTACCCTCCACCCTAGCTATTACCTAACCCTACCTGGGTACCCGTTGTAGATATTTAGAGATAGGTACAAACTGTCCGATTTGGAAATGTTTGACCGTAGCCCTGGCAAAATGTATTTAGATACATGTGTAAAACAATCTGGTCATGCATACACTGATGTTTACTGCATGGAGTTTTATCTTTATTCAAACATATAAAAGTCAGAAGGGATGTGTGCATTGTCAGAAAGAAATGGGAACATTAGTGACTTGTATTGTAACCATAGAGTTTTAGATAATTTTTGTCATTAAAAAATATATCACATGACTTACTACGAGTCCAGGTAGTCCTGTGGGTACCCGGTACCTGCTCAGGACCCACCCGACCCAAGTACCCGAGTTACCCGTCCCAACGCTACCTGGCAGCGTGTCTGTGCAGCTTGTTTTATATCCACTCCTTTCCATAATGTGTGGTATTTTGGCGTTCTAAATTTATTTTTATATAAGTTTTACAATTCAAGAAACGAATAAGATCAGTGGATTTTTTTTTCAGTCTGACATTTTACATGAAACTGGAACAAATGTTGAAACATTCCAGAACATGTATATTATTTTGTAGGAGCATATGCAGTAGTTGTGCATTATTAATCAGGTTTAATTCTCCATTTTAGACTGCTAATTATGTCCCTTGCAGTTGAACCTTTCGGATACGGATACTGTTCTAACCATATTAACACTTGTATTCAACAAGAGCTAGCCAACCTACCTTGTTATCTTGTGACCATGTTATCTTTCAACATTTAGCCAATTAATTACCCTGACAAGGCTCAGTGACTTTGTCCCCTACCTGAGGCCGTAGGGAACATGCTTGTTTATGTACTGTGGCACGTGTCAGTGTGTGGGATGTGAAAGGTTGCAGGTCATGTGTCAGGGTCTGGGAATGGCAGCCCCAAGTGGCGTGTGTAAATGGTTAGGTAAACAGGAATAAAGTGGTTTTAATCATGGGTGTATCCCTCCTACAGTCAGTATGCAATGTTGTTTCCGAAAAGTAGAAATTGTACCATGATATGGTGAGAATATTGGTTCTGCTGGGAGCGTGTCGTGTCAAGACTGTTTTCCCATGTCAGTCATGCATGGGCTTTTGTATCACTTTCAATGTAGGGTCTTTGTCTAACCATCAGTGTTGATGTCATCATAAGACCACGTGTCAAGTATTTGGTATAATGCGTCAAGGAATTTATCAAAGCTTGGTATTATTATAATTCCAAAGGCTTTCTTTTTTAGTATTCAGTGTGCTTTATAATGTTTTGATACAATGATAATTTTCATAATGATAAAATAATTGCATAATATTGCTTTATGTCACTGCCTTTATTGTGCCGTTTTTGTGTAAGGTGTGATTTTGTTTGTTCGTTTGTTGTATAACGCCGCACTCAGCAATATTCCAACTATATGACAGAGGTCTGTAAATAATTAAGTCTGGACCAGACAATCCAGTGATTGAAATCTTGAGCATCGATCCAAGCATCAACCAAGTAAGTGAGCCAGACCACCGGATCCCGTTAGTCGCCTCTTACAACAAGCATGGGTTGCTGAAGACCAATTCTAACCCAGATCATCTTCATGGGTTGTTAGGTGTGAATCATAACAGATCAGTAAGTAGTGCCATGCTAGATCAGTAAGTAGTGCCATGCTATTTTCTGCAAGTGATTTCATATCAACCCTACCCAATTTGCCTCCGTATATTCAGATCCAAGCGGAAGGATGACAAATGATATTGTTTGCCTCAACCATTGGAAGTATTGATTTATTAGCACTTATTCTGAAACAGACCATAACCTAATTTAGACAGAGCATCAGCATTCAGTAGGCTGTTCCATTCTATGAGCAGCTTCCCTCCGCTAACCAGGAATGGCTAGAATTGGCACCGGGCATATTGAGAGATCGTTAAGTCAGTGAGGGTAGCAGTGTAGAGGTAGGTGGTTGATCCTTGTGGGGGACAGTCTGGTGGAGTGTTTCCAGACTAGGACAGACAGACACACTTACGGATTACCTGGCCTTTGTACTCTTGTGTTAGATGTGATAGGTTCTGTGGAGCTAGCAGCAGAATTCAGGCAGGAAGTGGAAGGAAGAGCGAGGTGGCCAGTAAGATTGTTTGACAGGTATGTGTGTGCAAATGTATTTTTGCTTGTCTGAGTAACAGATGGGAGACTCTTAGTAACAGATGAGCAGAGGAAACTGATGGAATGTACTATTTGTTGATATTTCACGATTTAAAACATACAGTAAGGAAAGCTGCTTAGCAATGATAATTAGACAACATATATACTCTTTTTTATGGGTAATTGATATTTAAAAATATAGAGTTTGTGTGACCAGCTGAAATGCCTGACCATTAGCTACAAGTGGATGTCCCGAGCTGATGTCATGGGTGGCGTTGGGGGCTGGTGACACAGCATGGGCATTACTCAGTGCCAGTGTACGTCATTATGTTAATGTCACTGTGCATCTACCGCTGCCTCCTCCATCCAGCAGACCTGCGCCATACTCTAACACAACTAAGAAGAACCCAGCTTCCATTGATTATGCTGGGGGAACCCACAGTCTTCCTGAATCAGTCAGAGACTAGTATTGATCTCTCGCTGCTGCAGGTTGCCTGATTCTCGTGTGTCTGCTTCGACATGTCCTGAATATTTCAGTGATTCTCCTCATTTTTACTCAGTCCAATTTAGATATTGTCTTGCCCTGACTGTGGTTTATGAGTTTATTAATTCATTTTCCTTCTTACAAGTGATTATTGTTCACATTGCATTACCGTTCATGTGATGGATCTGGGAGATAGGTGGCAGCAAGGTCCTAGATCAAGAGAGCTTCCCCAAGCACTGTAATCTTCAATATTGCTCTCTTCTGGTATGTACAGATGAGATGGAATACATTCAACATGTATGCTTTCACAGATCATACTACATAACAGTGTTTCCAACTAAACGAAAATATATAATATTCTTATTGGAAATAATAAATCATGAATTAAAATATTTTGTCATCAATAAACTACAGTGATGTATGCTGGACTTGGTTAATTCAGCAAATTAAATCAAATCTAGGAAAAATAAAGTCAATTGTTTTTACTTTTTAATTTCGCCAGTGATAATCATAATGTCGAAAAATGAAACCTCATGCAAAATATTCATTCCTGGTACGAACTCTTTCACTAGAAAACACATTTTGCAGAACCTTGGAACATTGTGGTGATCACCTCGTATCACCTCGTTACTGGAAAGTCATAAGAGACAGGAAGAAGCAGGCTGCCACATCTGCTTGTTGCACTGGCTAATCATTATGTCTTCTTTTTTGCACGTTTTGAATTAATCGGTCCATTATGATAATGAATTTGGTAACCAGTGCTTTCTGACAGCTGTATGAATTCACCAGGGCTATCAGGAATGGCAGTTGTTTGCTTATCAAAGTCAGTTTCCATGCAGATTTAGCATATGTTTAGCGATGCTTCTGCTTGCTCTGTGGCAGTGTCCGCTTCTATACCAGGGCCAACTTGCATGAGTCTCCGTGTCCAGGCTATTGTATAGAATTGACACCAGTCAGGTATCCCTTTGACGCAGTTGTTATATTCCCTCCATCATTCACTAGCCATTTGAAATTTTAACATTTGAGTAATTTTGAGTAATTTTGTATAAGGAAGTTGAGATTCACATGAAGGAGAAGGCCTGGGTTCGATTCCCCACATTGTGAAGCTCATGTCTGGTGTCCCCTGCCTTGATAATGTTGGAATATACTCATTCACTCTGTGACCTACTCATTGACAGCTATTTGATTGGTTGGGATAGGTTAATCCAAAGATTCCTGGAAAGACTAGATCTTTGACTAGATCTGCAGACTGTTTGAGTGACAAATTCAATTCACAATTGTTCATGGCACTCTAGTTCTAAACTACCAGACATGGCACTCCCATCACCCTGCCAGACACAATGCATGGCACTCCCATCACCCTGCCAGACACAATGCATGGCACTCCCATCACCCTGCCAGACACAATGCATGGCACTCCCATCACCCTACCAGACACAATGCATGGCACTCCCATCACCCTGCCAGACACAATGCATGGCACTCCCATCACCCTGCCAGACACAATGCATGGCACTCCCATCACCCTGCCAGACACAATGCATGGCACTCCCATCACCCTGCCAGACACAATGCATGGCACTCCCATCACCCTGCCAGACACAATGCATGGCACTCCCATCACCCTGCCAGACACAATGCATGGCACTCCCATCACCCTACCAGACACAATGCATGGCACTCCCATCACCCTGCCAGACACAATGCATGGCACTCCCATCACCCTGCCAGACACAATGCATGGCACTCCCATCACCCTGCCAGACACAATGCATGGCACTCCCATCACCCTGCCAGACACAATGCATGGCACTCCCATCACCCTGCCAGACACAATGCATGGCACTCCCATCACCCTGCCAGACACAATGCATGGCACTCCCATCTCCCTACCAGACACAATGCATGGCACTCCCATCACCCTGCCAGACACAATGCATGGCACTCCCATCACCCTGCCAGACACAATGCATGGCACTCCCATCACCCTGCCAGACACAATGCATGGCACTCACATCTCCCTACCAGACTCAGTCTGTGGTGGTATAAGATGATTCAAGACTTCTACTACAGACAGGCGTGGCAGGTGTGCTTGGCATGGAACCCATCCAAGGAATGTGTGCAGTTTGATAATTACCAAGTCAGCAGTTTGAAGCAGCTACCTACTGGCTCCACAGACAGGTGTATGGAGGAGGCAGGGGACCCCTGCTTCTCACAGTTCTGTTGAATAACCACTCAAAATAGTCTTGCCGGAATGCAGGAGTAGGTCACCGCAACACGATAGGGTTCAAGCAGATACCGTGAAGGGAAGAAATGTTGACTACAACAATGATGACTGCTGTGCTACCTGCAACTGTTCCAGTGTGCACTACTGCATGTGGTGTTACACCGGTGATAGTCATTGATGATTTCTTGTGACATTGAGGGATGTTGGTATAGGTCAGGTCCCCATCCAAGCTCGGCAGACTTAGGATTGATCGTGTGCATGATCTCACCTCATGTGCACCTCTAAATTGGATACTTCATTAACAAATTGATAGATTAGACCACCCGTACACTTTCTCAGATGCAGCTTAATGTTACATGCCTCTACATATCAGCCAGATCAGTCACACTTGCCTCTTAGAAGAAACTGCCGTCATATGGCTGGATTTTTGCTGTGCGCGGTGTTAAAGAACAAACAAACCAAACAAACGTAGAAGAACTGAGTCTGTGGAGGAGCCAAACATCATCAGGGTCACCATACGACTCCACTACAAAATATATCACGTGGATACATTTTGTCCCGAATATTGACAGTGTGAACTCTCCGTCTAATAGACGGCACTTATTTCTATTCTCCAGTGGCACCATACACCATGCATTAAAGAAGTTAAGCATATGCTATTGATGGGCTGAGCTTTTACAGAAACTCTTGATCCTACTGTTGGCAGCATGGTTCAATTGATGAAACAGATGGACTTGAGATATATCCAAGTATACAGTATATAGACATAGTTTGATATAAATAGCACTGGAGCAGCACAAGGACAGGCTGTTCAGCCTGCTCTGTGTTCGAGCTTGTCTTGATCCTTTTCTATCTTATAATTGTAATATTGATATTGTCCCCGTTCTTGCGAGGAACAAACTATAGATCTGTAATGTCATGTGTTAAAGTAAGTATTATACAAGGAATATGGATATGTGAGTAGTAAACATTCAAGATATATCACACTTAATTACAGTTGTGCGGACAAAGTAATGACAATACTGGATTACTTGAGGTCAGTTCCTGGTTGAAGGCATAGCTGGTGAAAAGTGCCATCAAAACCCATGTACCTCCACTCTCTGTCACATTCCCTGCCAATATTCCTGTGTTAGTATTGTCACGGGCACTGTGAACTGAGTAACATTCATACAGTCAGCCTGACAGCCATTGGTTTGAGTTGTACACATCATGTCTGTGTTGCAATGTCATCCAGGGCCCTACCCAGTCAACCGTGACTCTATACACAGTTGCACGGTGAGGGGATCATGGCAACATACTGCCTGTTGTATGTGGGAGACGCCATCTTCCTTGCAGATAGTCAAAAACAAGCATCTGCCTATTGATGAAGTTGGAGGTCATTGATCAAAGATATTTTGTGGGGAATGCAGCAAAAGTAAACATGTTGTGTAGAACTGCAACAACTCTGACAAAGGCGTTTATTGTATTTTTATCAAGCAAAAAAATTGAGTGAAATGTTCAGTAAGATTGATTGAAATGTTCTGGTAGATATTGATATATTGATATAATAAAGAGGTTTAAGTTATTATGTATATAAGTACAATAGCATAAGTATAGCCTGGCAAATTGATCTATGCAGACCATTGGGATTGGTGATATGTGTGTTTTTGTATATGTGATGTTAGCAACTCAATTGATGTTCAGCTGCCACATGAATATTATTTTTGTAGATTCAGTTTGCAAATGGAAAAAAAGAACATATTGTAGTTTCATGATGGTCGGTATTTCTTTTCTTCTCAGGCTACTGTTTCAGTTACTATGTGCGAGATACAACTGTACTTACTGTATATAGGGGAGGTGTGATAGCCTAGTGGTTTTAGTGGTTTGCTTGTCACGCCGAAGACCCCGGTTCCATTCTCCACATTAGTACAATGTGTGAAGCCCATTTCTGGTGTCCCCCCACCGTGATATTGCTGAAATATTCCTAAAACGGTGTAAAATGATACTCACTGACTACAGTATACAGGTCTGAAGCAACCCATGCTTATCATACTGATGTGGTCAGGCAGGGTGACTTGGTCGTTGCATGTTATATCCCAATTGTGTGGATAGATGTTCATGTCAGTCACTGAATTATCAGGTCCAGACTTGATTATTGAAAGACCTCCATCATATTGCTGGAATATTGCTGAGCGGGGCATTAAGAAACAAACAAATCTAACTATGTCTAAAAATGTGCGCCACTGCTTCAAGTACAGCAGTACTTATCACAGAGTGTATAACTAGAACTGATGGGCTTCAAAGTAAGGA